AAAAAAAAAAAAAAAAACCACCCAAATCCTTTCAGTGACCTATGAGGTCATCCTTTCTTCACCAGCCCAGAGCTTTAGAAGGGCAGAAAGGTTTTAAAATGTTGTATGTCTGTTAATGTTTCCCTCCTTTTATCCTTAAAATAAAAAAAAAAAAAAAAAAAAAAAAAGGTAGCTTTCTTTAAAATTTCAATTTTCAACTGTTACCAGGTAGTATATATTAACAAAATGGGTTTCTGTATAGTGACCATATCTGAAGACCTTGCTAAAAATACTTATTAGTTCTGATAACTTTCCTGTGGATTCTCTGTGATTTTTTTTTATGCAATCACATCACCTTTAAAAAGCAATGGATTCATCTCTTCTGGTCTGAATGCTATTTCATTTCTTTCTGATTTTATTTTTAATTTTTTTTCTTTTAATTTTTAGCTTTTTTTTGGAGACAGGGTCTCACTAGGCAGTTCAGGCTGTCCTTGAACTCGCTATGTAGCCTTGAATTCCCAGAAATTCTCTTGCCTCAGCCTCTGGAGTGCTAGGATTACAAGCATGTCCCACCACGCCCAGCTTCTTTCTGACTTTAGGCATTGGCTTTGACCTTGAGTAAATACTGAAGAAGCTGTGTGAACAAAGCCCCTTGTCTTACTAAATGGGACACTGAAGGCTAACACCTGAGCCCCCTATTCCCAGCGTCTTCACCTTCAGTGGCAAGATGCTGGTCCCTGGTACAATATATGTACTGACCAAGAGGACCTCTGGGAGTCAGGAGGCCAAAGGATCTTGGCTGTATCACAGGGATAACATGTTCTGGCTCAGTTATTCCACCTGTTCAGGAAAGTGGCCCATAGCACCTTTGGGATGAGGGTCTGGTCATTTTTGTTGTTTCTGAGACAGGGTCTCACTGTGCAGTTCAGGCTGCCCTGAATTCACTATGTAGCCCAGGTTGGCATTGAACTTGCAGTGATCCTTCTGCCTCAGTCTCCCAAGTGCTGGGACTGTAGTCAGGCATGCACCACCATGCCTGACCAGTCTGGTCATTTTTATAAGGCCTAGACAGAGTGGCATGGCTATACTTGGAAGTGCCTAAAAAATGGAGCCAGAAGTCCAGATGGCATGGCTTATAAAAGGAACGAGTTTACTCTTGTGGAAGGTAACTGAGCTAGAGAGGTGGACAATTTGTCCAGGAGCATATGAACTTGCTGAGTGCTTCTTATAACCCCGTAGAGACAGTCTCTGCAAGGAGAAAACTGCCTATCTTTGAGACAGTGATCAGTACTATCTTCCTTGATCTCAAGCTCCCTGTTACCTGTCTGGCTACAATCATGGCCTCTGCACATACTATAGTCCAGTGCACACATCTGATGGTACATGTGCCAGAGTGCCCAATTCTGCCCAGTGACAGACACAGCCTCTGAATGATGGTTCTACTCTCCCACCTAGCAGCCTCCTGGTTTGTGGGACCCTAACAACACTCTACTCAGAGACAGCCTGCCCACACTGCTGTTCTACACAGTCCATGTGCCCATGGGCTCCCACAAGTTCCCACACTGTAGCATCCGAGAAACAACTACATGCTTTTAATTCGTATTTCTCATGAGCCTTGAATTCTCACAGCACTGGTGTATGGTAATGAATCATTCTATGCAGTACTCAATGCATGCTAATGAGCTAGGTGAGGACAGCTTAGGCTGCTCTTTTGTAGCAAGTGGAAGGTCATCTCAAAACTGGGTTGTGTCTGCCTTAAAGCACCACCTAGTGGTGAGGATTTTCATCTTAATACTCGGTAATATTTAATCTTTCACTTAAAGATTCTATCAGAAAAAAATGATGACCCTAAGCAAGGACCCCCCCCAATAAAAAGAGGAAGAGCTCAAATGTTTACACACATTAAAAGTTTAGCTCTAGTCTTAAAAAGGAGAAAGGGTTTTTTTTTTTTGTCTTTTTGAGACAGGGTCTTGCTATGCAGTTCAGGTTGGTCTTGAATTTGCAACAACCCTCCCGCCTTGGCCTTCCTTCCGAGTGCTGGGATTATAGGAGTGCGCCTCCACACCAGGATAAAAGAAAGGTTTGAAGGTGCTAAGTCCAGATAATTTGCAAACAACCAACCACACTCAAATTCATTTGTGAGTAACTGTTACCCGAGAATGGGAATGAGGCAATGTAAAAGATAGCAGTTACAGGGGCCACACTCCTAGAAAAACCAGCTATCCAACTTTTTACGGTAATTCTGTGAACAAACAGTATCACCACTGCTGCATCACATGCTATGAACACTTCCGAATGCTCACCACTGAGGAAACTAAAGGATACCTAGGCTGGGAGGTGGCCTGTAATCTTGTGATGCCTACAGTCCTAGCTATTGAGGAGCCTGAGGCAGGAGGACTGCAAATTAAGCCAGTACAAATATGCAATACCCAGAATGAAAATAAAAAGGATGTAGCTTAGTGCTAGAGGGCTTGCCTAGCATGCAAGAGGTGCTGGGTTCAGTCCTCAGTATTACATACACTGAGGACATCTAGCTTCTGTTTCTGAAGGGATAGACTTGACTCACCATCAAGAGTCTTACCTGGGTCCAGACACATGAACTTGCAGCACTCCTTAGGCTCCTTACGATACTGCTGACAGCCCTGGGGACCCTCGCAGAGGGCGGCCACGCACATCTCAGGCTCCCCTCCATGGCAGGTGCAGCTCAAGCATGGATCATCCCCTTTGGGGGTGAAGTAGAAGCCTTCATCCACCACATTGTCCTTGATGTCAACACATGTTTGACCTGCAACGAGCACATGTGTGCACAGATGTAGCATTACCACCAAAGGGAACCCTGGTCCATGCCACTGGGCCATGGGGAATACAGCAAGTACAAAGTTGGGCAGATTGTCTATTCCTTATGCTGCAACACTGTGAGGGGTGCAGGAGGTGGTTGTCTAACAGCAGTAGTTGTCTAAGAGGCATGTCTACAACACTGAGAACAACCACACCCAGCCAGGGTAAATAGTCCACCGAACCCTGAGGGCCAGAACAAAGATGAATGCCAGATTCTAAGATAAACGTCCCTGCAGAAGCTTTTGGTGTTAAGTTGACTAGTTTATTTATGAGATTTCCTCAGTTCTAGGAGACAGTAGTGCACATGCTTGCAAGCACAGTACTCTAGGGGGCTCACAAGTTCAAACTCAGGGCAACTGTGACTTAGTAAGATCCTGTCTCAGAATAATAAAAAAAAAATAAGGGGGTGGGGATGTAGCTCAGTACAAAGGCCCTAGGTTCAATCCTCAGTACCAGAGAAAAGAGAGAGAGAGAGAGAGAGAGGGAGAGGGAGAGGACAGGGAGAGAAGCTGGGAGGGGAGGGAGCTGGAGAGGGAAGGAGACAGAGAGAGAGAGGGAGGGAGGGAGGGAAGGAGGGCAGGAAGGAAGGAAGGAAGGAAGGAAGGAAGGAAGGAAGGAAGGAAGGAAGGAAGGAAGGAAAGAAAGAAAGAAAAAGAAAAAAGGAAAGAAAAATAGAGAAAGAAAAGAAAAGCTTGCAGTTACTGCAGACATTAACCATTTTAAAATCAGAAGGAGTCTCAGCTGGGTGTGGTGGTGCACGCCTGTAACCACAGCACTTAGAAGGCTAAGGCAGGAGGATCACTGCAAGTTTGAGGCCAGCCTGAACTACCTAATGAAATCTTGTCTCAAAAAAGACAAAGGAGAGAGAAACAGAGAGGAGAGAGGGAGGGGGCGAGCAAGGGAGGAAGGGAGATGAATCATGAAAGGAAAAACTGGTGAATTTCAGTTCAGTTCAGATACCCAAGGCAGGTATTACTAGTGAATATAAAGCCTGGGATACACTGTGTGTAGCCACAGTGCCAACAGACCCTATTCTCAGCCCAACACCCACAACCAAGATCAGTAACTCACTGTACTTAGGAGACCTCCCTCCACTGAAAGCAGAGGGGAAAAGTGGCCATTTGCAACGAGCACCAAACTACTGACCTCAGTCTCTTCTGTCCCACATAAAATGCCTGGGTTTCAATGAAAAGCCAGAAGAAAGTACAACACTTCAGAGACAAAACGATGAACAAAACCACATTCAGATATGACAGAGATGAAGAACTACCACAGGGAATTTTAAAGTAACTATAGTAACTATGATTAATATGTTAACTGCTCTAATGGGAAAGGTAGACAACATGTAAGATCAGATTGGAAATATCAGCAGAAGCAAACTATTAGACCTGGCCACAGTGGCACACACCTATAATCCCAAGCACTCAGGAGGGTGATGCAGGAGGACTGCCCCAAGTTCAAGGCCAGCCTAGGCTACATAGTGAGTTCAAGAAGACCACCCTGAACTACAGAACAAGGCTCTATCTCAAAAAACCAAACCAAACCAAAACAAAAAAACATTAAAAAATCCTATTAATTGAAAGAAACAACCCAAAAGGTGAAGAGCACCTCTCACAGGTTCGTAAGTACACTTGACACAGCCATGGAAAGAATTAGTAAACCCGAAGACAGGACAATAGGAATTACTCAAGTGTCTGTGTGAGTACACCGGAAGTACACAATGGCAGCCACAAGTACATGAGCCGTTCAGCATCTAGGGAAGAAAATCAGGAAGTCCTGTTGTCAGACTCTGTGCTCTGAGACAAAAGTGTTCAGCAGAATGATTTCTAGTGCACAGAGTAATGGCTTTTCAGAAAAGGGCAGGGCTCCTGATTCAGGGAAAGGTAATGCAGTCTGAGTTTTCTCCAAGCATTTTTTTGTATTTGGTTTTTTGTTGTTTTTTGAGATAGAATCTCAGTACGTAGTTCTGGCTCACCTTGAACTCACTATGTAGCCCACTCACTATGGCCTCAACCTCATGGCAAATCTCCTGAATGCTGAGATTAAAGGAACGTGCCACCAAGCAAGGCTTTCTAAGCCTTTCTTGATCAGCTTCTTGCCCGGTTCTGCTGATCATTTTCTACACAGCAGTGGGAAGAAGTCCCCAAGGGATCTGGTAACAACTATCAGATCAAACAGGTGAAGTTCAGATCTTCATGGGCCTTGGTTGATGAGCACAGGTGTCCAGAAACCTCCCAAAACAGGTATACAGGCTTATGGCCTCTCCCTCCTAGTCCCCAAGCTGAAGAGGGCACAGACCCACAGGTTGAAGGTGTTAATTTCCCTTTGTCTGTGTCAGAGGCCTTTCCATCTTTGGGCTGACAACCCGCACACTGTGGTCCTCTCGGGCGGGGTGTCTTGCCCTAGGGATAGCTGTATCATCAAGGACAGAATGTGGTACGCACAGCTGTGAGGGACTGTGGCCTCCTGTGCAATGTTCTAGTCAATGAACTTGTGAGAGAAGAAGGTGGACTTGCATTTTAAGGCAGGAAGAGCACTGTGGTTTTCTTTTCAAATTGTTGTCAAAACAGTTTTTCTTGTTCTTCAGATTTCTATAACCTACAGTTGAAACACAGGAACTTCCAAGAATCCTTTGGTTGTTTCTGCCTTTGCTCTTGTATTTTTCAAAGATGTTGAGTTTTTTGGTTCCTAGCTTTAGAAGCCTTGGTACCAGTTTTCTTCTCTTGGCAAGGAGAACCTGTCAATGTCAGCTCCAAAATTTTCCAGCATCTTCTGTACTTAACCCCCACTCCATGTCTTAAGGTTATTTCTACAGAAGTACATACTTTTCTTCCCGTGCTTATCAATTACTGAAGGCTTTCTATCGAGTATATCCTCCTCTGAAAACACTCAGGTTTTCCTCTTCTTTCTCAAAGTCACATACAATACTTTTGTAAGCGGTCTTCTACGGATGATTTCACACATTTCTCAGAATGCTTTCTACCAAAGGCAATATATTTATTTACTGGCAGGTCTATTTTGCTCACACCATGACTTTTAAAATTCTTCATTTTTTAAGAATATCAGGATTTTACATAAGAGAGCATGTGAAATGTATGTGTGCTGTATTTGTGTCTTGTGGGACTGAAAGCAAGTTTGAGGCTGACTGGACCCTCTGGCAGACACTTTTCTGGTCCTCTGTTTGCTCTGACTCAGTCCCTTAACCAGAGCAACATGGTTTCATCTAGTCACCTCATATGTGAATCAGTCTTTGTCCTTTTACTTTTTTTTTTTTGAGACAAGGTCTCACTATGTAGTTCAAGCCGATCTTGAACTATGTAGCTCAAGCTGGCTTCAAACTTGTAGTGATCCTCCTGCCTCAGTCTCACAAGTGCTGGAATTATAGGCATGCATTTTTATTCTGAAAACAGATTTCATGATTATTTCATGAATATTTGCCTGCTGTCTTTAATGTCTTGTTTTTGTTTTGTTTTCCCCTACATGTCTTTAGCCAACCAGCTTTTGACTTATTCTAAGCAACACTTACTTTGTTGCCTCAGAAGTGAGTTTGTTGATCTGATGTGGGATTTTATAAAATAACTCCTTTCAATAAAATTTGTTTTGGAGACAAAACAAAGTAAAATATTTTTTTAAAAAGGCTGAGGTTGTAGCTCAGAGCAAAAGCACTAAGTTTAATTCCCAGTATTCCAAAGGAATAAAAGGAAAAAAGTAAACTGTGTAAATAAAAAAAATATAAGAGAATCTACAGGCTAAACAACTAATAAGAAGGTCCATGTAATCCCAGCATTTGGGAAGCTGAGGCAGGAGGATCATTGTGAATTTGAAGCCAGCCTGGGCTACAAAGTAAGTTTCAAGGCCAGCCTGAACTACACAGTGAAACAAGAAGGAAAAGGAAAAGGAACAGGAAAAGAAAAAGGAAAAGGAAAAGGAAAAGGAAGGAAAGGAAAGGAAAGGAAAGAAAAAGAAAGAGAAAGAGAAAAGAGAGAAAGAAGGAAATAAAGAAAGAAGAAAGGAAAGAAAGGAAAGGAAAAGGAAAGGGAAAGGGAAAGGGAAAGGGAAAGGGAAAGGGAAAGGGAAAGGGAAGAAAGAAAAGAAGGAAGTGGGGGGAGGAATTAAGTTAGTTCAGAAAAATTGTCATAAAATTGATATGGAAGAGAAAGAGGCTAAGAATAGACAATTAGTATCAACTACAAGGAACAGATAGTTGCAAAAACTGCTATGAAGATTTACCACAGGGGCTGGGGATTTAGCTCAGCGGCACAGCGCCTGCGTGGCAAGCACGAGGTCATGAGTTCGATTCCCGGTACCGGAAAAAAAAAAAAAAATAGATTTATCACAAAGCTACTGACACACACAGGATTGACAAAGTGCCAGAATGGTGTATAGTAATATGCCCAGGCATATGTGAAAGCTGGGTTTGTGATTGGTGGGAAGCAGGGGATTGATCCCCTTGAATAGAACTGAGATCATTACCTGAACTAGACTTGCATTAGTGGCTCTCTGTAATTGCCAAGGCTGATTACACCCCTTTACCTATCACAAAGGACAGTGGGGAAGCAGGGCATCCTGCCCTCTGTTGGGCAGGCTCCTAAAACTCAAAGAAACCTCAATATGGCATTTGGATGTGTTGGTAGACGGACAGGAAAGACCCATAACATCAGACTAGGCAGGAGGAGCTATCTAGTAATACAGAAAGATAAGGAGAAAGAAGGACCCACAGAGAGCCAGAGAGGCCACAGTGTGGCAAGTTCTTGGATCACTATTCCCATTTAACCTAATACAACCAAAGCAGACAGGGCAGGAATTAAGGTCTCTAACCCAGGAAAGAGAACCAGCAGCTCAGAGGCCAGCCCCACAACCTTATGGCAGCCAAGATGCAGACTCCAGGGGACTTACTCCTTTTACAAAGAAACGAGGACTTCTCGTAGCAGCTCTCAGCATGCCAGCTGTGGAGGTCGTGGTGCCGCAGTGTCGGGAAGTGGAAGCACTGCAGCTGGGCGCAGTACACATTGTCGTTCTCAGACATGGCTGATGCAAAGGTAGGGTCTGGGGGCAGGAACACCTCCGAGGAGCCTGTTGGAGGAGAAGAAGCTGAAACTAGGCAGATGGCCATGTGTAGTCCTCAAGGGACCATGGTGTCAACAAGATCATCAACCAAAGAGCTCATAGCCCATGAGTGCTGGAGTCAGCTCCTGGAGCTGAGACCTGGGAGGGCCCCAACAAACACACGAACAAGTACCACCCACAGAAAACAGTGCTGCATAGTGATTCCCTGGAGGTGCTTAAAGTTAGAACAACAGCATAAGTAATGAACCAATGGATGGTAACACACTGAATTAAAATGGAGAAATTCATACTGATAAATTAAATGAATAAACAAATGGGGAAATGTGTAGGGGAAGTTCTCCCCAACAACAAAAAAGCCAGTAAGAAAAAGAGCACTAAGACAAAATCTCTGCACTGTAGCTGCGAGGCACACGCTATTTTGGGGATTGTGGGCTAGAGAAAGGATCCCGAGCAGAACCCTTACCCGAGCTGAAAGCACAAGCCACTGGAGCAATGATCCATTCTTCCAAACTTCCCTCCAGGATGCCCCTCTCAGCCACCACCACTATAGGAGATTCAGCCCTTGGAACAACAAGGTGGTAGAAAGTTCTAGACTGCCCCCATGCTATCTGCATGTGAGGTATGAAGTTCCTCAGCTCCAAGGACCTCTGAATACTGCCTAACTGCTTTTGCTGTCGTGTCTCGTCTAGCAGTCCACAATGAGAGCTACTCCACCTGTGTCTATCCCCTACTTCCTCAGCTTAGGAGTCCCCTCACCCACTACCTCACCTGGCCAAGCCCTCCACTGTGCCTGTGGCAAGGGAATCTTTACTTACTTTCCTCAGCTAACATGCTGACTGCTTCTCCAACAGCCTTCCTTCCCTTCCTGACTGCCCTCAAGACCCACAGAATCATCCTGCACAGACCGAAAGGGCTATTTGGGCCCCAGGAGAAGCCTCAGGTTGGAAGAAGCTGCCCCGGTGAGCAGTCTGTGGTTACCTTGTCCAGAAAGCAGGGTCTCTGCACTGTACCTTCCGGCAACTACTAGATCAGTGTGGTCCCTGCCTCTGACTGACCAAGGATTCTAGGTACTAGGTCATGGGTAGGCAGCAAAATCTCTGTCTGCTGACTTCACTAGGTACTAGGTCACGGACAGGCAACAAAATCTCTGTCTGCTGACTTCACTGTCAGGACCCTACAACAGTCACAACCTTCCCCATATAGCCCCAAGACAGACAAGAAGACCACAAAGGACCAGTCACATCTTGGAAGATGCCTGAGAGAAAAAAGATTTCTTTTAAGTTAAACACCTCCTGATCTCAGTCCACCTGTGATGTGACTGAGCTTCAGGGAAGTGTGCAGGTTTGGAGATACAGTGGGGACAAATGGGACAAAAGCACCAACCATCTTAAATTCACAAAATATGTGGGCACATTACATAATATGTTTCCATGTTAGTGCTTTAAAATTAACATCAAGTATGAACAACCAGAAACTGAAGTGCACTGCCAGCCACAAGGATGGGGGCCCCTGCCAGTGGCATAGGAAAATGTGGAGGATTCTCTCTAGATAATAGTGATCCATGTGTTTTCACATTTTCCATATGAATTAGCCCCATGTCCACTGGTAGCAGCAGCTCTCAATCTGTAGGGCACATCAAAGCCCAGCACTGCCAAACCTGTAGTGCCTCAGCAACCCTGGAGAGCTGCAAGGGCTTATGCAGACATAAGCTGGGAGCAGCAGGGCCACCCTCCTGGCGAGGTGCTGGGGAATTCACCACTCAAAACCCTCAGGAAACAAAACAAAACAAAACAAAAAAACCCTCAGGAGTCCAAGGGGAATAGCTCCAAACTTCAATATATAAGGGAAGTACAACACAGACCTATGATAAATAAGTCTGTGTATAATACACATGCACCATTATGACAGTACAGAACACATGTTATCAAAAACACAAGTTGTACAACATGTAGATGAAATAAAGATCTTAGAACACCTTACTGTGAGACTTTCCTACTACAATTAGCTAATACTCTTAGGCACAGTATATTCTCAGGGAAGGGTTCATCATTAACAACAAAAATGCATTTCTCACTGTGTGCTGTATATGTTTTCTTTGGGCCAACTTCTCCGACTCCAACCAACCCTAACTACCCACTCTGCACACGGCAAACAGTTCCTTTGAGGAGCAGGAGCGGGGGCTCGCTGGGCCATGCCCTTGTTGCCTGTATTTTTAGTTTTTTCACTCTATTATTTCTTAGCAGAAAACTTAAACGATGTAGAAATTTTAAAAATACACACAAGTAGAAAGAGTATGATGCAACCCTGTGTAGCTCAAAGCTGAACTGCATCCTCCTGTTTGGTTCATCCCCCATTGAGTGTGCTCCTCCCTGAGCATACTGTGGCATCTGGCACTTGCATATCAGGTCATGTCCCCTAAAATCACACAACAACAATGCTATCACATGCCTAAGAAAGTGAATAGTCAATATGCACTCTAAGTCTACATTCACTTTCCTTAATTATATCTGCCTGAGAGTTTTTATAATCCACCTCCTGCAATCCATTAAAAAGAAAAAAACCAAACAGAACTTGCTTTTAGTTTTGTTTAATTCTTTAGACTCCAGAACAACTCATGATATTGAGCTATGTCAAATATCCAAGCCACTTCAGTCGTAGCAGAAGAATCTTTTTTTAATTGTGTACATTTTGTGACTACTACTTAAATCCACTAACAAAATCTCCAAATCCACAGACAACAGAGCATAGCTTCCATGCAGAGCTGCTAGATGCTCAGCGCATCCTACAGGAGTACAGGGGCTTTTCCTAAACTGTAGATTCACTTTTCTTTCTTTCATTTCTTCTTTTTTTTCTTTTTTTTTTTTTTTGTGTGTGTTTTTGAAAAAGGGTCTTGCTATGCACTTCAGGCTGGCCTTGAGCTCACTGTGTAGTCCAGGCTGGTCTCGAACTTGTGACGATCCTCCTGCCTCAGCCTCTCGAGTACTGGAATTATAGGCATGTACCAGCATGCCCGGCTCACTTTTCTCATGTCCCACAGAACTACTGAGACAACAAGCATGGTCATTAGAGCCCACCTGGACCAACAAAGACATCTCATGCTAGAGATGAGGATCTGAGCCCACCGTTCAGACATGTCACCACACAGATGAATGTCTCTTCTCTTTCTTTCTCTCATCCTCTCTCTCTCTAGAGGAACTAAAGGTATTAAATCCTACGCCTTCCTACTGAGCTAAATTCCCAATCCTTTTATTTTTAAGACAAGGTTTCCCTAAATTTCCTAGGCTGGCCTTGAATTTGTTATCCTCCTGCCTTAGACACCCAGAGTGCTGGGATTACAGCTATGCCCCACCATGCCTGGCTTGGATGTCTTCTCTTTAACTATCAGTATAGAGAAGACAACCATGCTCGTGAGTGTTGACACTGTTCTAAGCTAGCCTGTGACCGCAGTGTTACAAAGATTCACCCCCTACAACTGTGATGAAAGCAAGTAAAAACAAAAAACAAAAAAAACTACTAGGAAAATGAGCCTTTATAAGACACACTGTGACATTGGGGCCTAGAGAATTCAAAACCATCTATTTGGTAATTGTTCCTGTGGGAAATCTAAACAACATACATACAAAGTCTGAGAACTCAAACGTAGGTGGCGTTTTCAGTTAAGAAATCAGAGGATAAAGAATGGAAGCACACGCTTGTAACCCCAGCACTCAAGAGTTTGTGGCAGGAGGATCACTGTGAGCTTCAGGCCAGCCTGAGCTACAGAGTGAGTTCGAGGTCAGCCTAGACTACACAGTGAGACCCTGTCTCAAAACAAACAAACAGAATGGAATCATTTCATTCTGGGGGCTGGTGGGCATGGCCTTCTCTGATGGGCTCTGCAGAACCCACCTCTGCTCCCTGCCCCATTCTACCTGCCAGGTGTGGCCCTCTTGAGTCTATAGAGTCCTGCCTCTCTCCAGAGAAGCTGGCTACCTATAGCCCTGACCTTTATAACCTTGTTTCCAGGCCCACAACTCCACCTGTCCTTATCAGAGACACTGAAGATGTTAGTGGTGTGACTAAGATATGTTTAGGGAACAGAGACCCCGATCTGAGCTCAAACCAGAGGCTCAAGGCGCAGTCCAACTGGCAAGGCCTGAGGATGGAAAGGGTGGGAAATGCGGCAACCAGAGAGTGCACAGTAGGGGCACCTGGGCAGAAGTTGTTATTACCAGGGCAACAGGGCAAGAGGGAAGGGATGGGCCAGAGCCAGGACCTTAGCTGCCCACACATTTCCTTTCCATTCTTTAGTATTTCCAAACAACTCAGCATAAAATCTTTTAAATATCCCCTACATACACACGTGTGCGCATGCAGGTGCACACCATCTGCCTGATAGTTCCTTCAACTTCTGGATTGTAACCTTGAACTTCCCTGCTCTAGAAAGTTTCTCCTTCCATCTTTGGCCCATGTCAGCACCCCCTGTTTACTCATTTGTATGCCCCACAGTCTTCACCTTTAAATTTATTTAATCTTTATTTCTTTTCATTCACCAGTACTGGGCACTGAACTCCACATTTTACACCTTCTAAGCAAATGCTCATGCTTAGACCTATACCTTAAATGCCTCCCTTTTCAGAAATAGTTACTTTTAAAACTGATACATAAAACTGTGCATATCTGTGATGTTTTGATATATGCATACAAAGTATAATGTTTAAATCAATCTCTTTAAACATTTATCATTTCTTTGTGGCAAAGCAAGAGTTCTTTTTTTTTCTTTTGGAAATGTAAGCAGCAGCAAGATATGAACGTGTGCCTGTAATCCTAACACTTGGGAGGCTGAGGCAGGAGGATCACTGTGAGTTTGAGGTCAGCCTAGGCTACAGAGTGAGTTCAAGGCCAGTCTGAACTACATAGTGACACCCTGTCTCAAAAAACAAAAAAACAGATATATCATTTACAGGTACAAATTCCCTATGGCGAATGTCAGCATTATGTATATCTATAATGTATCAATAAATTAGTATTTTGAAAAAGGAAATGTATAATACATACTGTTACTTAGAGCCACCTCAATATGCAACAGCACACTAGAGCATTTTACTCCAATTTAACTGCAACTTAGTACCCACTTATCAATCTTCCTAACCGCCCCCTTTTTCTTCCTAGGTAAAATTGCTAACTTAAAAGGGAAGATGGGCAGTCTAGAAATCAGGCCACAGTGAAAACAACAATGAGTTCCAAGCAGGCGCTTGTGCTACTGAGCTATATCCTCAGCAACCATGAGTTCCAGAGAAGGCCCCAACCCCACAGGGAAATGGCTCATGTATATGATGGCTGTGCACTTGGGGTCGCCTGCTCTCCACAGTCCCTGTACCAGGTGGCCCTAGAGGCAGGCACAACGGGAGGAGAGGAGAGGAGACCCCAGAAATAGTCTGAGTCAGGATGACTTCTCCTAATTACAAACCTAACCAGAAAAACTTACCTTTGAATGCCACCTCCCATCGGCCTTCTAAGGAAGGGTTCCGGGCAGTAACAACATACTGATAGCCAACCCACAGCCTGTAGGGGTCAGAAACAGAGATCACATCATCAGAAGGAAGCAGCCATCAATGACTATGCACATGTTTTTTATTTTTGCAATGCTAAGGATTGAATCCAGGACATTATGCATGCTAGGCAAATACCACTGAGCACTTAATAATTCATTCTACCGATTTCTAAGACACTGAGCTACAACATAAACAATTTATGGGGGCTGGGGATTTAGCTCAGCGGCAAAAGCGCCTGCCTGGCAAGCGCAAGGTCATGAGTTCGGTTGCCGGTACCGGAGAAAAAGCCAAAAAAAAAAAAAAAAAACAAACCAATTTATGTTTTAATACTCAATTTTAACAAAATGCATTAAAATTCTAAATAATAAATTCATAGGTCATAAAAGGTTTTACCTCATGGGGCCCCAACCAAGCTCGTTCTTAGCTAATCCAACAAAGTTTTCACATTTGAAGCCAGATTAATCTTATTCTTGGTGGAAATAAAGCTCCAGAAAAACACACACTCTATGTTAAATCCACAGACCATTATGTTCTGAAGTGTTATGACATGAGAGTTACATCTCAATAAAAAAGCAAAGCCCTGTGAACATGTATATTGCCAAATAGGATACAGACATGTGCACAGCTTCCCTCAGAGTCTGTCTTGCCTAAGGTGTGTATTCAAGGGCACTTGATCCAGCACCAAAGGAACCTTCCTCAAAGACTTACCCAGCCGCTATAAGCAACTGTCAAATCTATGCTTCCTGCCTCAGCTCTCCAGCCCCAGAACTAGAGATGCCCATCAGCCACAGTGGTAGCCTTAGTGCTTGCCCCTCTGCCTTGGACTGAGCTCTCCCCACCCTCCAACTGATGCCCTGTTCCCTTCTGCTGGGCTCCCAAGGCATTTCCTTTGTAGGGGTAATGAATGGAGAGTTATTTTTCTCACTTTGCAGCTGTAGAAGGAGAAACAGCTTAGTCTTACAATTTGCTGACATCATACAGCACATAATTATGGAGCCAAACCCACCTCTGGTGTTGAAATGAACACCCTGGGTCCATCTGTTATCAGGTTATCAGGGCAGCATGGCAGCTACACCATTGTGAGGAACAGGGAACCCACAGGGAGCACAAGCCATCTTAGGGACTCTAAAGAGCTATGTTTCCCTCCAGAAAAGGCTGCCCTGTTTTTTGTCGAGATAGGGTCTCACTGTGTAGTTCAGGTTGACCGTAAACTCACTATGTAGCCCAGGTTGGCCTAGAACTCATGGCAATTTTCCTGCCTCAGTCTCCCAAGTGCTGGTAGGTATATGCCACCATGCCCAGCCAAGACTGCCATTTTCTATCTCACACCCCTAGCAATGTGGAGGGAATAATGTTTGCCATAGGTGGCACACTGCATGTCTCTGCATGTACCTGTCCCCAAACAACCCACCCCTCCCCCAAAGTGCAGGGCCTGGGAGATGTGAGGTTAGTTACCATTTACACACTTCCTCCTTGACATGCAGAGCCAGGAAGTCAAAAGCCAAGTCCTGGAGCAGACTGCCTGGGCTTGAATGTGCCCAGTGGTACGTATATGTTCAGTCACATGTGTGCCCAGCATGGGCCCCTGAGGTTCTGGGAGGACTGAGTGAACAGGCTCACAGGAAGCACTGGGCATGGAGCTGGCAGGGTTTCTTTCTCACAAGGAACCCTTGCCCAGCTCTGTATCTCTCACACCAGGCCCAAAAAACTCCACACTAAACAGCTCCTGGGAACACAGGCTGGAGTACCCTGGCTGCACCCATCAATTGCCTCTGTGTTATCCCCACAAGGAGACCAAAGTAAGGGGCAGGTCCTAAGTCCCACAAGGCAGTGACAGGGCCCAACTGCTCTTGCCCCCATCATAAGCTCCCACCTCCATCTCAATGCACATGCTAAGCCCATGGTGCTCCCTTTGCTTCTAGTGGGCAGGGATCTGCTTTCCCCAATGCTGGCTGGCAGCTGTGCCTTCTTACGTGTATCCAGAGCCTGTGTGCTCAGCTGTCCTCAGACCCCAACCCCCACAACTCACTTGCGCTGATCCTTCCAACCAAATGGGACCAGTTCGGGCTGATCCCATTCCTGGGCCAGGACAAAGCGAAGCTCCTGGTCAGTAGAGAAGGTGGCGAGGGAGCCATTCACACGCTGGCAGGTCTGTGCGGCATCCCAGTAGTTCTCCCCACTCAGGTAAACCCGGTAGCAGCTGGCTTCATAGTGATGCCATCCTGTTGGGCACTTCCCTAGGAAACATGAAGGACGGAAGGGGAGTTGTCCCCCAAGTTAGGACCTGAACTCCAAAATCAAAATTCTATATGCTGCATGGGGTACAAGCATGCCTCAGAAATCACTCTAGAGAACTGGGCATTGTGCATGTCTATAATCCCAGCATTCAAGAAGCTGAGGTAGGAGGATCATAAGTGTGGGGTCAGCCTGGGTCACTGGGACAGTGACACCCTGTCTCAAAGACACCAAAAAAGAAATCACCCCAGAGAAACAAAAACTCAAAAGGACAAGCTCTTGCTTCTCAGATCACATACTTTGTAGAAACAAGGTTTTTCTGAAGTGCAAATTTACTCTGTGATGTAAGTATATTTAATGATTCCTCCCATTTGTAAAAGGCCTTTTAATTTTTGCAGTTGTCAAGAGTAGCTGCTGAATGAATTTCTGCAGGACAAATCTCATTCTCTGATTCAAGTCTGTTAACAAGGCAATGGACTATGAGACCTTGGGTGGGGCGGTGAACAGGGAGACTCTCTGATGCCTAGTTCTTCTGGTCTCTGCTGCCAGCAAGGCCACTGTTTCCCAAGCCACATCTCTGTCCCTCTTTTCTGTTCCCATGGATGGTGGCCAGCTCTCCCCTAAAAAAAAATAGCTCCATAGCTCACAACCCATGAGACTGTGGGGCCAACCCTGGTCTCCCACAGGTAAGAAAAAGATGCCAGGGCACTGCCTCAGCTCATGAAGCCAAGGAACCAGTCAGAATCTTGCCTCCCCAAAACTAACCAGCATCTTCTCAGTTTGTTAGCCTGTCAATCTGACCCTCAAGTATGGGAAGGTACTTCACAGCTTACTCAAAATGCTTCTGAGAATCTATAACCTTCAAATGTTAAGAGTACTTTTTACCAGTAAAATGAAGAGTAATAATTTCAAAACAATACATCAAAAAATGACATTTATGAGGGGATTCTTTTTCCCTTTTGGTTCTAGAGCCTGAACTCATGCCTTGCATAGGTTAAGCATATGCTCTACCTATCAAGCTACACCTCCAGCTCAAGAGTAACAATTTTTACTCAAAGCTATAGGAAGGAAGGGGTATGTCTCACCTCTAACCCACTGAGGAATGGCAAAAGCACTGTCTGCAAGGACAGAAGGCTAGACAGCATGACCTGCCCATTGCTGGAGCCTAGGTTAGTACATCTGAATGCAAAGGAACAAACGAAGAGCCTCAGCACACTCTCAGCAGGCAGTGCTACTTATCTCCATGTCAGAGGCCAGGACACCAAGGCATGGAGAAGTGGAACAGCTCAGGAGCCAGCAGCAGGACCAGCCAGGCTTCCCTCCTGGAAATGGGGTCAAGAGCACTCTCTGGGGAAGGAAACCAACTGGCTAGGGCAATGGAGAAAGGAAGGGTTCCTTTTCTATTGAAGTCACTGAAAATTACAGTGCATGTTTAAGTTTTTAAAAATTTATTATAGTAAAAGACACACTGCCATTAATCCCCTTCAAGATACTCCCCTTTGCCATTTATCCCATTTTGCCACGTTCTGAAGCAGTTCTAGAAATTCTTTCATAAGGGTCTTTATAGAGGCTGTGATAAAAAATACAGTGGACACTAGCTGAGCATGGTGGCGCATGCCTGTAATCCCAGCACTTGGGAGGTTGAGGCAAGATGATCGTTAGGAGTTTGAGACCAGCCTGGGCTACAAAGTGAGCTCAAGGCCAGCCTGAACACATAATGAGATCCTATCTCAAAAAGATCATACACACACACACACACACACACACACACACACACACACATACACAGTGGAAAAAAATACACTAAATGCAGCTGCCAAGTGTCATCCAATGAAAAGACAGACTTGTAAAAACATTATGGTATGTTTTCATCCACTTTACTCACCAGATATGGCACCATATGACTTCTGGCTCTTTCTCAAAGTCAAAATGATCATGAAAGGCAAACATTTTTAATTGATTCAGGACATCAAAATAGCCACAAAAGCTCAATTAAAGACACAAAAAAAGGTAAGTATATTCAAAGTGAGGGAGAGTCTTCAGGGGGATTAATTACAACATGTCTTTTGCTGTAATAAACTTTTAAAATCTGAACACACTACATTTTTCATCACATCACTATTACCTTGGGGAAGTACTACCTTCTCAAAAGAAAATAAAATCTAAGCACTAGAAAGAGCATGGAGCTGAGCATCAACATCCCATGGGACTGCATCCTGGAGCCTGCCCTTCAGTTGTGTGACCCTGGACAAGCTGACCTATCAGAATCTCCATTTCCTCCTATGCCAAGTTTGTGCAATACCCTTCAACCATAAAAATCCACGAGACGTTCACTGCTACTGTGTGAAAGAACTGGGCAAAGTGTCAGGGCTTACACGATGGCCAATCCATGCCACTAACTGCTTGCTCAGTCTTTATCAGAGAACTTAAAAAAAAAGAACTTCATCACAGACCTCAGCTCCGTGTGGAATGGAAGCTCTGAGTGGCGGTGGAGGCCCGGCAGGGAAAGTGATTTTCCAGGGTTTCCTCACTGCTGACAGTGCTAGGCTTGGGCAAAACCACTGCAGCTTGGGAGCCCAGCCCATGTCTCAGGTCTGCTGGCAGTCAGCACAGGCTGTTGCTGTGAGGTATCACTAAAGCGTTCCCTAGTGCTGAGTGTATGGGCTGGGTATGAACAGCAAACACATTCTATGCCCTCCAGCAGAGACATCAAGTGTTACTTCTTCCTGCCCCAGCTAGTAGCTGCTCATTTAACAACGCACAATCACCTGAGCATATGGACAGAGTGCTTCAGCTGTGACTTTCCTCCTTTCAACCTTCCTTCACATTATGTTCCTTTAAGTATTTAATGTCATGGGTAATTAACTGCAATAGACACACACACACACACACACACACACACACACACACACACACGGCACACACATCATGCTACTCAGGTAAAAGGGCCACACACAGGATATGGCAGCAGAGTACATTTATTCTCTGAAACTTTTCCTTGGAAAAGTTAGAACAGAATAAACTAGAGTAAACATCCCCATACATTTCAAATGGGTTACATGTGCTTGTTAGAATTACACCTTAGCAGTCTTCATTCTTGTATTGCTATTATGAAAAGGGGCTTTATTGCATTTTCTAGGAAATCCCTCTGCAGTGCCAGCCCTACATATATAAACACACACACATAAACATATAACTTTTAAAATTTATAGTGGTGATGCAATGGCAAACAGAAACACTGAAACAACACCCAAGACTTAGAGGCAGATTTATTTACATCAACAGGCACCAATTGGGATCATTCCCAGAATATCAGGCTCTGATCTTTGGTGGTCTAGGGCTTATATGGAATAAGCAAGCAGGAAGTACAAAGACAGAATGGCTTGTCAATTGGGGATTTGTTTATACAATATACATCATAGTGACCAGCTATGCATCACAGTGACCAGCTGTTTCTAAGACAGAGGCAACCGGAACTGGAACAGGAACTATTACCTGGGCAACTAAGAAACTGAAGTATACTAGCTGAGGGGGGCTATTTTCTGTTATAGTATTGGGGATTAAACAAGGTCTTACAGTGAGCTATATCCCAGCCATTTTCTTTTAATTGTTTTGTTGTTTTTAGTTTGAGACAGGATCTTCCTAAACTTCCCAGACATGATTTATGATCCTCCTGCCTTAGCCTTTCAAGCTGCTGGGATTACAGGCATGTGCCCCTGTACCCAGCCTCACATTATTTCTTTTACTATTATTATTAATTTTTAACTCTTTTGGTCTTGCTATGTTGCTCATGCTGGCCTCAAACTCCTGGACTCAAGTGATCTTCCTCCCTCAGCTTCCTTAGTAGCTAAAACTGTAGCTATGTGCCATAAAACCTCGCCAAACTGATCAATCCTTTCAAAAAAGTAAACAGGAAAGCAGGCTCTAAGAATTTAGGTATAGCGGTAGCTGAGAAAGCCTTTACCTATCTACAAAACAATTCAACTATGGGATTTCCCAGGGCTAGTATTGTCCAGCCCTGTTCAGGCTGTGCTTTGAAATCAAGCAGCCTGGCTTTGAAGCCTAAACGGGAGCCTCATTTCACCTTAGGAGCAAGAAGGTGGGTACCATGCAGTTTTATTCAGGGCCTCTGACTGTCTTCAAGGGCTGCTTTAGGAAATAAGCCCTCCCAACCCATAGCAGAGAGACACTGGGAAAGCTGGGAGCCAAGACTTGAGCTTCAAGCTCAAGATGGATGGGTTTCACCGATGGGTGCGGGGGACAGGTCTGCAACTTACTGCTGAAGCGGACAGGCTGTGCCACATTCACTGCATGGAAGTGTGTAGGGTCACCACCTCTGGCTCGCCCTTGTCGCAGGTCCACAGACTCCTTTCCATGGTAAGGCCGTGACTCCCTGGTTACTTCTGGAAGCAAAAGGAGAAATGTGTTGTGAGCCTGACCGGTGCAGCATTCACAAAGCAACCATGGGGCTTCTTCAGCTATTGCCAAGTTGAATGTCAGGGTAGAAGAGCCACACACAGGACATGGCAACAAAGTCCTCTTACTCTCTGGAACTTTTCCTTGGAACTCCAGAATAAACATTGCTATACAGTTCAAATAGGTCGTATGTGCCTGTTAGAATTATACCTTGGCACTCTTCACTACTGTACTGCTATTCTGAAAAGGAGCTTTACTGCATTTTCTAGTGAGTATTGCTAGCATGGTCAGTCATTCCTTCTTAAAATCCTTCTGCAGTGCCAGCCCCACAGAGATCCTAGGTAAAGGGGCTCTTTGCAGATCCCAGGCTGCCTCTCCACCCACTCTCACTGGTCTGGTAGTCCTCATGTGGAGAGACTAGCTGTGTACAACTGCTCCCCTCATCACTCGTCACTGGAACTGAGCTGCCTGTCTGTCCACCTCTGGCCAACCTTGAGATGGTACCTCAAGGGTACTAGGAGTCTCCTGGCCAGGCTTTCGGATGCTTGAGTCTCATTCCCTGATTCTTGGCATGGGCCATGGGTTGCAGCAGGCCCCAATGCATGGTTAGAAGGCGTGGACAGGAAGCTCAGCACAAGGGGAAGCATTCCATTTTAGCACTGTCATAGTAATTCACAGGTTGATCCTGCCACATACTTTCTTAGAGCCCTCCAATCCTCTTGTGAGAGCCCAGAACCATACTTCTCTCATGTCTCAGGTAAGGAGCAGACTCAGAGAAGTGAGGTAATTTTCCCAAGGCCACAGAGCAGAAAGCCAGAGGCAACATCCCTCTTGAGCCCACCTACCTCCCATCCCACCTACCTCCCATCCCACCTGAGGCAAAGTCTAGTCAGATGGGCAACAAACATAATCTGCATGGCTACACAGACAAAGACAAGCTACCTGTCAGCAGGCACATTCTAGCTGTGGACAGTTTCACTCAGGCCAGCTATTACAGAAGCAGCAACAGCTGACCTCTTGCAAACCTACCTGTCCTGACTCCAGAGCTGGCAACCAGCCCACCTGCCAAAGCTTCTCTTGCCATTAGGTTCTACTAGGAGCAGACTCTAACACTGCTTTTATTTAAGAATACTTTTCCTGGGCTGGGGATATAGCTCAGTGGCACAAGTGCCTGCCTAGCAAGCACAAGGTCCTGAGTTTGATTCCCAGTACCAAAAAAAAAAAAAAAGTAATAATATTTTTCCTTCATTATAAAATAACAAATATTTAATGTAAAATATATAAACACTACACGATTTTGAAAAGATAAAATGCATTAACTGTTACATTAGGGCTCACTCCTCTAAGTCTTTTTTCTTACACAAATTCTTGGAAATATTGGGATCAGGACTGAGAGTTGAGTTCAGTGGCAGAGCACTTGCTTGGCAGGCTTGAATCCCTGAGTTCTACTCCCAGGACCCCATACCCACAAAACAAGAAAAAAGGAAAGGGAATCACACCAAACATTGTTTTGTTTTGTTTTGCTTTGGTTTTGCAATACTGAGATGACACCCCAGGCCTTGCACATGCTAGGTGAGCATTCTACCACTGAGCTATATCCCCGGCCCCACACACACTATTTTATGACTTCCTTTTAAGCTTACAACTATGAACAGCTTCCAAATTCTAAACAGGCTTAAGAACACTATTTTTTGTAGCTGTGCCATATTCCATGAATAGAGTACTTACTATTGTATTTTGTGCACTGTTTTACAAAAAGCTGCACAGGCTGCATTGAACAATGCATACAAAAATCACTGTGTGAAAAAGAAAATCACTAGGTGAAGCCCGGCGTGGTGGCACACGCCTATAATCCCAGCGCTCAGGAGGCTGAGGCAGGAGGATCACTGTGAGTTTGAGGCCAGCCTGGACTATAAAGTGAGTTCAAGGCCAGCCTGAAGTGCATAGCAAAACCCTGTCTCAAAAAGACAAAAAAAAAAGAAAGAAAGAAAAAAAAAAGAATCACTGTGTCTCTCATTGTTTCCCTCAGGGATCCTGTGCAAGTTTCAGAAGTATTTCTTCCTTCACTCACTAAATATTCATTCTTCGAGAGCAGTTCCATGGCTCCTCTAAGCATGTGAGCAGGTCTGGCTACTGATAAGAAATCCCTCTAAAATACACAATGTGCTACCAGCATCTGAGATAATTTTAGCACAAAGTGAAGATTTCAAAGGAGGAAATATCTTCAAGGTCTGAGTAAAGAGCAAAGGTGGGGACATGTGGGAAAAGCTTGGGATCAAGTCTAACTGTGCCTAAAACATATTTTACTGCACTTAAATTTCACACCTCCTTTCTGTCTGTTCAAACAAGCAAGGCCTGTGTTTCCACTTTGTATCTGGTCTTTTCCCAAAACTACACCCAGTACCTGATAAACTGCTCACAAAAAGAACATGGGGCAAAGGGAGGGTGTGGAGAGCCACTCAGACTGCTTCAAAGCTCAGGGGCTTTTGAGGATGTGACCCTGCTTGTCTAGCGCAGGCACGTAGTGGGATAGTTACATAACCATGACTTAGCACAGGTAAACACGCGTGCACTGGTTACAGCATTATGTAGAATGTAAACATGAGATAACGACCTGTGTAAGAATTATACAATAAAGACACAGGTGGCTCTGGCTCTGGTTCTCTGCTCTACACTGCCTGTTGTTGCTGATGTCTTGTACACGTGTGTTTTTAACCTTGGGGCCTCACCCACGGAAACCTCCCTTGGCCCCCCAAGCAGGCCGACACAGTGAAAGAGGATAAGTAAAAGGTCACAGATTGCTGCTCAGTCCTGAAGACAGGTGTGTGGACGTGACTGAGTGAAGCCATCTGTAGCCTAGGGCTGGGGATGGAGTGAAATATTAAGAAAAGTAACCAAAGAGACAAATGGTGACAAAGAAAAAACTCTTTTGTGCTGAGCAGGCGTCTCTGAAGCTCAACTGGCAATTGTGAGCCTCTCTTCAATTGTTTCTTTTCACATCCAAATACTCATATTCATCTCTTCAGCCACTTGTTTATAAAACCCCTACCAAGGAAACTCACCAGCTCTGACACATGCTTTTGCCAACAGAAAGGGGAAGGTGGTCATGCTGGTGACAGTTAAATAAAGGACTCTCCCTTCCTGGAGAAAGCCGGGGAATTTGCAGAGCACAGGATTAGCAACCTTCCAGACTTCTTAGGACCACCTGTGACAACACTTCCCTCTTCCCTAAGAGCCAGCTCACAGGTGTACAGCTGGATACACAGCCTACTTTTTTCATTGTTGAGTTCACTTGCATGTGGCCTGCCCTGGAGTGCTGGCCTCGGGACAAACACCCAAAACCAACTCTCCTCTTCCTTTTCCAACTTCCAGGTACTGTCTGAGGCACAGGAAGCACACCAGTGAACAAAGAGCAGATAAACTGTGCCCTACAGTGCGAAGTCATGCTTTCCTCAGCCCTCCTTTTCTACCCAGCAACTGGACAGGGTCCCTGTGACTGGGATAGGATGAACTCCCATTCATAACTCAACCCCAAAGCTGCCCCTGCCATCATGAAAAGCAGCAAAAGAAGTGCCTCCTGGGGTGCCATGGGCAAGATGCTCTTTGGTGCTTTCAAAAACAGCTTTTGTCTCTTTAGATGTCCTCATCAAGACTACAGAGCAGCTGAGCTGCCAAAAATGGAAAGGGAGCCTGCAGAAGTGAACCTGAAGCAACAAGTGGCTGACCTGGTACTGAAAATGTGAAGGCAGAAAAAGCAAGCTTGGTGGTATCAGGATCTACACTCCAGAGCAGGTGTGGGGCTTAAGGCCAGCAGGCTCAGGGGCCGGGGCCTCCCCCCCTAACAGCCTGGACTGACTTGGTTCTAGCCAGTCCATCTTTGGGTCTTCTGACCTCCCTCCCCAAAAGAGAATTTCACAAAGGAGCCAGGGTGTCAGACCACCTCAAGTCCAGCAAGGAAAATGAGCAAGTGCAGTCTGTAGCACGTCACTTCCAAACGACATACAGCAAGAAAAGGGGATTATTTGCAAATGAGGGACAAAATGTGAATGATTCTAGCTTATGTTGCTAAAAATTTAAAACCTGTCCACACAGGATCCAGAAGAGCATATCATCTCCCCAAATAAAAAGAGGGAGCAAAATAAGCCTCTTCAGCACTCCAAGCTGTCAGAAAGTCCTTCCTCCACTTACATCAAAGCAAGTCTGAAAATGTGTCAAAAATCAAATGTTAGTTCAAATAGTACTTGGTTACGAAAAGAGAATTTCTAAAATAAAAAACCCAGAAAACGTAAAATTCTTACTGGTACTGCCATGACATCACTTAAGTTCTATAAAGCGATTCTTGTACTGTTCAGCCAGGGCCAAAGCTACCTTACTGAGACCTGCCAGGGCACATGTCCCAGTGGTTGTCACCCATCTCTATTCTACCAGAAATTTGAAGCTACATTTAAAATAAAAAATCAATATGAGCACTTCTGTTTTCCCATTTTATACCCATATGGACGATATATAACTCAACAGAAAATAATTGCAAAAACACAGCCATGTGTGGTCTAAGTTCAAAATCTGTAACCCCACAGTTGTTCCTGGGTCCAAGAAGCAACTGTTTCTGGCACAAAGGAGGGAGTATCTTTGCTGCTGCTACAGGGCAATGGCAGGGGCAAGTAGTATATACAATAAGAAACTTTTTTTGTTTTTGGAGCTGCTGGGGATCAAACCTAGGGTCTCCTCCATGTTACATAAACAACCTATCTCTGAGCTACACCCTAGCCTACAAGATGCTTTTTTAATGCAACGAAAGTTTAAATACACACACACACACACACACACACACACACCAGCATATACACACATGTGGACACATGGATGTGTACATATATATGGATAAGCTAGAAATCATAAAATTAGTTATCTTTAGGATGCTAGTGGGAACAGTGTAAAGGGACAAACAGAAATTCTACAAATATGTTTTTATACAATTATAATTTTA